GATCCAAGCTTGGAACATGGGCGGAATTTCCGAGGTATCCAAGCTTCGATTTGCCTATTTTCACCAAGTTTTGTTAAACACTGTATTTGCATAACATCAAGGTTGGTTCAAGATAGCAATTCGAAGGCTTGGAATGACCTAGGTATGATATATTGAATCCAGCTTGGTTCAAGCTAGGAATTCCAAAGCTTGGTATCCTAAGCTGATCCAAGCTTGGACCCATCGTTCAAGCTTGGATTTCCCAACCTGGGTTGCTGATTCGAGAGCGCTTTTAATAAATAGGTCTCAGAGAGAAATTTGGCTCTGTTCTAAATATACGTATGTTTTGATTCTCCGACGAGGACATTAGTGGGGGTTGAGTACCTGTACCCGAGCGCTAATCGAATAGCAGAATATTGTATTTTCGCAAGTTTATCTCTCAAGAATTTTGTGTTGGGGAGATATATAAATACTCCATAATCAAAGACTGATCGAATGAAACTTTTATATAGGATAATAAGAGTGGAGGGATCAGAGCCCTACCAAGTTCGTCCGAGAAACTTTACAATATTGAGAGCCCTCCGTGTTTTTAGTTGAATTTTACTTACTTGGCATTTAAAATTGAGTTCACGGTCAAAATTAATTCCTAAAAACTTAGCTACTGATTATTCGATCGATTTGCTTCAATATTTGCGATCGCGTGATAGTTTTAAATTTGGCTGACACACTGGGACAAAATTTAAAAAGCTCAGACTACAAGTCATATTTAATAATACCGTTTTACAGTACTGACATTTTCCCAATCATACTTTCCACTTTTTCCTTGGAACATTAGTGAAAATGAAACTCCCAGGTAATGGACAGGTAGTTCAATATTTTTTGCTTCCAAATGGAAACTTTGTAATCGCCCGAATTTAAGTCTCATATTTTTGGTCGTATATCAACTCAGTATAACCTAAGGAGTTCGAAAATGCAGTTTTTAGATCGTGTCCAAATGTATGTATGTATGTGTGGGTGTGCCCTGGCGGACCATTCGAGATTTACTCGATAGGCCCTCGATAGAGTGAATCGAGTTGTGCACTGAGTCGATAGGTGTTCGAGATTGAGTCGATGGTAATGTGGATCCACATTACCATCGACTCAATCTCGAACCCCTGTCAACTCAGTGCACAACTCGATTTTTTGTTTTACCATGTTTTTTTTATTATTACAAAATTATTTACAAGATATGTACAACCTTAAAAAACTAGTATAAACAAAACTGAGGTTCTTTATTAATGTTTACTGGAAAAAAAGAAACATTTTGGCCTATAGAGGCTCTCGAGTTTTTCTTTTAACTGCGAAATATGCTATTTTCTAGATTAAGAACAACTATATATGGGTAGCTAAAATAAAGAGCTTTACGTGCTCTTTATTACATAGATAATTTAATTTTGTGCTAAAAAAAAGGAATTAAATCCAAGTTGCTATTTGTGTAAAAAAAACGGCACAGACATAATTGCATAAAGAAAGAGAGAAAATATAGGATTACGTTTACATAAGAGGGTAATAATATTTCTAATACCCTAACAGTACTTTTAGAGTAAGTTATCTTTACTTATAATATTATTATTATTATTATTTTCATTTACTTTAACGATTTATATAACGTCTACGATTTCTGCGATTATTAATTCTGTTTCGCTGTTTATAATTTTTTTCTTTTCTCTCGTATACCCTTTCGGGTCTTTACGGTTAGTTGGTTCCCTTCCCACCCCCCCAACCCCCTGTACCGCATTTGCTTGAAGGGAGGGAAAAACCTCATCTGAGGGAAAAAACCTGCCCAGGTACAGTCGTCCTTTTGACAGGACTACCGCTCGGCAGTGGAACCGTGAGATCAGAGCGCTATAAATTTTTGACCGCCGGTGCCCGGGATCGAACCCGGATCTCTGGCATGCTAGTCTAGCACTCTAACCGCACGGCCACTACCGTCGGTTGTTTCGCTGTTTATATATTCTATAACGATGTTTGAGTTCATTTATGAATTTACAGTTTTCGTTTAGCCACCAGAAATCGTTTTTGATTCTAGAGAAATCGGTGAGATCACATTGTGGGATATCTCTAGAATATAATAATATTTGAGAGTCATCACTATCAATGGGGATTTTTTTATTCTTTGAGTGCCTTGGCATATGATAAAGTATCGGTCTGTTCAGGTCATCCTTGATCAGGCCGATTCCATCATAATACGTAAAGTATTGCGGTTTGATATGACCGCATCTGGCCCTACCGATGGCCTCCTCAGGTGGGTAGATTGCTAATGAATTTATTGTGTGATTGGCTATATTGACCATTTTGTTATAATATTTCCTAGTGATTCTTATAATAAAGTTATCAATTCGGGGAACTTCAGCTTTCTCATATAATGTTTTGTTGCTCACTCTGTAAAGGTAGTTGGAATGAGCTGTCCTATGAAGAAAAAGAGCCGATCTCAGGCATTTTCTCTCAAAAACTCTTATTTTTTCTATTTGACAGGCTCACATATTCCAGAGAATCTCTGTAGCATATGTCACTAGGGGCCTGATGAGTAACAGATAACAAATTATTCTTGCTTTTTTATTCATGTATTTGTTATGGAACAGGTGGCTCAGGGCTTTTTAACGCTTTCTTGCGTTTTCCAATAGAGCTTCAGTATGATTGGTGCCCCTGGTTAAATAATCAAGTTGAACTCCTAAATATTTCACATTTTTTTTGATTGGAATCGCAATCTCGGTGTTAGAATTTGGGGTTTTTATTTTTATTCCAAATTGTTTTACACTTATTTTTTTTTGCTGAGAGGTGGCCTGTGGTATTTCGGAACAGGATTGCCTCACTTTTCTCCGGGTTTACTTTTAAATTCCACGTAGTATATAGATTTACACCCTTGTTAATTATTATGTTCAGTTTATCACTGATTTCGATACCGTTTTCTCCGGCGACGTATATAATTCTGTCGTCCGCGTATGCCAAAGAATAGGTGTCATTTCCTGAATTAAGTTGAAAAGCATCTATCATATGGGCCGTAAACAGGGAAAATAGACAGGGGGAGTTTATTGTTCCCTGTTGTAGGCCTTCGGTAATGATAAAAGTGTAACTTAATAGTTTGTTTTGATTAATCACTTTGAATGATTTTTTTTGAACCATATTCCAAATTATTCTGATTAATTCTTTAGGGAATTTTTTTTTAATTAATAAAAATATTAAACCATTAATCCAGACGCTGTCAAACGCCTTTTCTAGGTCGAGGAGGACAGCTCCGACCATCTTATTAAATGCACAACTCGATTCACCCTATCGAGTGGTCCGCCACGGTGTATGTGGTATTTTCTTTGCATTCATTTTCTTTGATTACTCACCTGCATTTCCACCTGATTGAATCTTTTTCTTTTCGAATATAAGTCTCATTCGATCCTATCTATCACCGTCAACAAAAATTAGTTCCATCGATCCATTTTTTTAATATTTTTTTTTTCAAATATTTGATTTTTTCACGATAACGCAAAAAAAAATAACATCCGAGTCAATTGAATGACGGCTGAAAAAATTTGTCCTGGTGTCCTTTTGACGAAGTTCGAAGATGAACGTGACAGCAATAATAGTTTCTTTCATTTCTGTGAAATTCCATTTTTGTTTTCCTACGCTATCTCCATATCTGCGTGTATCCGTTAGAAGTCGAATACGATAGTGGCTGAAAAAGTTTATTAAATACCGTTAACTTGAATTTTGGATCAAAAAAGTACACTGTTACAGAATCATTCAATTTAATGAAATAAAAATGAAAGCTTCTTTATCAAAGGGAAAGATAATAGAGAAAATAACCATTCGGAAGCATAGTGCTAATCTATTAGCAAATACGACATGCGATATAAGAACGATTCCCCACTTGTTGTTTAGCTTCCTTTAAATTCATTATTCATTAATTACGGCTGCCATTTTCACCATTTTACCATTGGGCAGGTGCTTCTCACTCCCCACTGCAGTAACTGTAAGGCCCTCACTACTGTCGTTACTATGATCGGGCTAAGACCCTTATAATTGAAATAGTTATAAACTTTAACGAATTTCTAATTCGAGTTCATGACGCTGCTCCGGGGAATCGAACAAATACGTAGATAAGGTCATACTTCTACCATGTTGCCATGGCATTCTCGACCATGGTCATGGTAATTTCCTTTTGCTTCATTCCACCATTCGTTAATGAACTGTATCACCGTCTTAATTACCGCATTTGGACGGTTTAACAATAAAAAAACTTACTTACTTAAAAGTGCAGGTTTGATAATGACTGCTTTTCAGCATTCTGCGATACATTACACAAAATGTAAAAAAATAAATAAAAAAAAGTCAAGTTGCCCATCAAGTATTGCTAGTAGCAGTGGTATAACCTTAGGAAAAGTGTAGTAGTTCGTGTTTTACTTAGTCCTTCCAGAAGTGAAGAAAAAATACAATAATAAATAAACGGAGAGGGACATAAAAAAAACATAACCGTCATACGTTTATAAATTAACAATTAATAATTAAGTAAAAATATAATATATATAATATAAATAGATAATAATTAATAATTAAAAAAGTTAAAAATTAACAATAATCGATAAAAAATATATTTCAACCTCGACGGCAGTTGTTAAGGTTACTGTTAATCCACTTCATATATCTGAGAATCCATTATCAATTGTACAAGTATTTGGCAACCTTAATTATGACTGAGGATGCTGAAAGTAATACTTTATTGTAAATGCCTCAATCGCGATAAAGAAATCCTTTGCTTGTTCATTGTTGTGAATTATTAGAGAACGACTAATTGAAAAATAAACAAGAATCAGTGGAACATATAAGAGCGAATAATTTTCTCAATTTGTCATTATTCAATCGATTCATTAATTTTTTATAGGCTCGCAGAAATTATTAAGCAGGAAACAGAGGGCATAATTATTGTCAAAGTGATAAAATAAATTCGTAGATAAAACATTTCAAATGAAAGAGACAATAATTAGGCTGTTCAGTAGATAAAACAGACTTTTTCCAGGAACGAACAACCAGTCCAACAACAACAGGTGCAAACTGAGACGAAATTGACGAAAAAAAGGTGAACCATTCTCTGGTGAGGTAGAGGGGGGAAAGATAGCCAAGGTGAGCACAGGGGGAACAAATGCTTGCGGCATCAATGGCTCAGTTGCGTTTTGATTCTACGCCGGTGGAGACAGCATATATTCTTTACTTTTCAGTGAGCAAGAGAATTTCGCAAACAATTTTTTTTCTTCAGTTCATTTTTCGTGAATTTAAAGTTATGAGCAAGTTGGCTAGATTGTTGGTAAGATAAACTCATATTTTCTATGCCATTCTTTTAAGGAATTATCGTACGTTGGAAAGTGTGGGTAGAATGTCATCAGAAAGATTTCACAAGTAAGAATTTTTTCTAGTTATTTTTATCATTTTATCCGTAACACAGAGACGTGTGTTCTTTAGGAATAATGTCGAACCTTTAATTGGTGATGATTAAGCGAACTGGTAAACAACTTAGAAAATTGATGAACCAAATCAAAATGCTTTATTGAAAGAAGATCACAATCTGGACATCATTGCGATATCATTATTTATCATCCAAAGAACAATCGCAAAGGAAAATCATCGATACTATCATCCTGATAACTCCTATCACAGCTGACAATCAACAATCAAACAATCGATTGAGAACACAGATAATTTAAAATTTGTAGTTTCCATTGACAGGAGAGAGTGCATCATTGATGCATGTAACTTTATTTATTTCATTTCTAAAAGAAAAAATGAAAAATTTATCCCTACTTAGTTGGAAAAGAACTACCCAATCCTAAAACGACGAAGTAAATAACCCTTTTAAAAATAATTGACATTTTTTTTGTAATGGTCAATCAAGATGTTTACCACTTTAAGGCATTTGGCAAGTTGATGAGCATCTTTTTGATGTCGAAATACTAAGAATTGATGACGACTATAATAACATTAACGAAATTGTTACTACAATATAGCACTATTGCATAAAAACAGACGTCATAGAAAAATGAACAACAACCATTAGATTTGAGTCTTGAATTTCAATTCATTGGTAACAGAACGGAAATTATTCACAGAGCTGCAAGGGACGGAGTTCTGGAAATCCTGAGAGAAGCAACGAAAAAGGATGCCAATACTCGAGATGACGGTGGAATGACCCCAACACTGTGGGCAGCCTTTGAAGGCCATGTGGATGCATTGAGACTGCTAGTCGCCAGAGGGTTTGTATTCTAATAAAAGTAATTAAATATGAACATACGATTTTATCTAATCTCAAATACTCCTAATCATACATTGACGGCAATAACAAAAATTAGCGAAGTTAATTTGATAGATACGAAAAAGATTTTTAATAGTGTCATTCTACTGCGAAAAAAGAGAACGAAAAGGTAAAAACTCATGCTAGCTGTATACGGTTCCATTACCGAACTCTCTCATCCGTAATGATGCTGACTCTGTGGAAGTTCCGGGGCGTTCTTTCATTGTCATCGAAAAAATACCGTCCGGGAGTTTCACTCATTCCGTGAATTTCCAAGTGACATCATTTATGTCTGATGTGAATATAGACTGAATTACTTTCTAATCAGCGTATATCGCCGTTTATTAACAGTAATATTAATTTCCTTCATTCATGCACTCCTGGATGAACTATTACGAATTTTTCTTCTAAAAATGGTCGAAATGATGTTCTTTCACAGAAATTGAAGTGAAAACTCTGCTTCAATCGAGTTGTTTTTCACTATTCATGTTACAATATTATTATGAGAGCGCGTTTGAGATAATAACTTTTTAGAGTGAATATGATGTTTTCAGTTAAGGGAATATTTAATATTCATACCGAGACGAAAATTTCTAAGAAGGAATATGGAGAAACCAATTTTTCGTGTTGATAAACTGCACTATCGCGCAATTAAGAAATTGATACTAACGAAAGGACGAGCTTCTCGTGCCACTGTGAAGTGTGGGGTTGAAGAGTGATGACAGTGCTTATAGGGAAGATTGCTCGGGATTATGGAAAGGTTTCAAGAAGAATTTTCCTGCGGCGGCTACGGAACTACGCGCAAAGAGCTGATAATTTTCAGAGCCCATGAGTATGGATAAGACAGACCGCGAGCCCGAGTATCGATAATTCGGGAAGACCGTTCTTAGGAATATGACAGAGCGCGAACCCGAGAAGATCGCTAATTCAAGGAAATCGTAACGAACGAAAGCATTTGATATAAAGAGGAGTGAGGGTGAAGAACCAACGGACGGACGGAATGAAAAATGAGTGCACTTTCATAAATTCGAAAAATTGTTCAACAAATATGGGGAAAAATGTCCCGCGAATGAATACTCACACGATTGGGAATCAGCTGAAACGTTGAGATTTACTGGTCCCTCGGAACCTTGTTTTTTCAAGGATACCATTTTGTTAACGAATTCGAAATATTTTTGAACAAATTGGGGAAGAAATGTCTTGCAAATGTATACTCATACGATTGAGAATCATCTGAAACGGCGAGATTTACTTGTTCCTCGTCCTCGAATTTTTTAACGACTCCATTTTTGTTAACAAATGGGAAAACTGCTCAAGAAAATGACGGGTTCACGATGATCATTTTATTTTTTAATTTTATGTTTACATAACGGTTGATAAAGTTTCGAAAAACATGATTTAATGTCGCTTTGTAACCTGAAATTGATACAAATTATTTTCATCAACTTGTATCAATGGAACACTATTTCTTAAGTATGTATTAAGTGTCATACACATGTTGATTGTTTAACCGAGTATATCAAGACCTCAGTAGGTACTGAACGAAGAACGGCTTATATTATTGATATACTCGTTTTCAGGGAGCACCACGAGAAGGCAATCAACACCACTCCCCACCTAAAATGTGAAACTACCCACACAATCTTTCAGGCAATTACAAAAAGTAAAGGAAAATCATAATAACAATTTATATATACCCATGTTAGAATTCATTCCTGGATCAGGCGGCGGTCGCAGGGAAGGTTTGGCCGCAAAATTTCGGATTGGACTGAACATTGGTATGAACTGGAAACTGTGAATCGGCTTCCGAAGAAATTAACGAGTAAGGGGTGAAACTAGCATATAATAATCACCGGAACGAAACAACTGAGAAAATCACAAAGAAGCCTTAAATCCGCGACAGTACTAATTATTAACGGTGAATTACTACGGCCACATGGATTTCAAAATGACAGAACCTGTAAGATTGATCGACTTACTTCAGCAACGAACCTGAGTATAAAAATTGATTACCCATTAAGTATTGAGATCAGAAGGGGATTTGAGAATTAGTCAGGTGAGGTTGCCCGCTCAGCCTGGTTATCTTGGACATATTTCTGGATGACAGACGACGTATGCGTAGCAGCTAACTGGAATGTTGGAAGCAGTGGAAGTATAGGAAGGAGATCAACGTCGCAAAGACTAGGGAATTCTCAGGAAATATGAAAAATCTAAATCGCAGCAGAAGTGACATATAACAGACAAAGAAGTACACTCCTCCAATTGCCGAGGTTCCTGTTTGACAACTTGAAATGCCTACGAAACACACTTAAAAATGGCAGAGAACGCTCACAGAGCGGCTAGCTGTCGCTTGATGTTTATCCACATTATTGACCAGTGCCTTACAATAAGTACTGGAGGAACACGACCGTCTCAAGAATAATCAAGGAACAATAAGCGCGATTGCAATCCGAAAGCGTGCAAAAAGGCGAGCACAAGTGCCACCGGGACACCACAGCATATGAACTGGATAATTAGCTGTTGGTATTTAGAACGAGTCTGGAGAGCCCCCGTCTGACATTCAATTTCTCATGAAAGAGTACGCGGAAAAATTGATAGGCGACGGTGCTGTGAGAAGAATTAAGAAAACACCTCAGTTAAAAAAACAAATTTACGCGATGTATAATATGGAGTCAATAGTGCCAGAGTCTTCCGAACCCTCAGAGCCCCTGGAGGAGACACCCGAAATCCCTCGGAATGGAAAAAGCCAGGAATTCAGACCCACCTACGTGAAGCAGGAAACTTCATTTTCAGATGAAGAGGAGAATAATCCGACTGAGCCTCAATCAAAACGAGCTTTGAATTTCGATGATAACGTTGTAAATCCGGAGTTGTACCAGTACCGGCCATCGGAAAAAGTCTTCCTCGTGGTGTAGGAGAGTACGAGCAATGAGGACCTTGAGGAGACGTCAGAAGGCCCCAATCAAGGAAGAAATGAACACCGAAGTTATGGATGAATCAGTACAATATATTGACTCGTACGATGTACTCCATAATGGATATTCACTCATCCTAGGAGACCCTGCAAGATATCAATATCGAGGACCACTAGATCTTCCCCCAGCAGGATTCAACACACAGACATCCTCGGAGGTTTTCTGGATAAAATGCCCGATGAAGCAACCGCTGACGAGCGTTAATTTTGTTGATTCAAAAATAATACTTCAACCACCGATAATGGCAGAGGTTGATGATGATAATTTTTATGGTAATGGCTGGAGGGTGCAGACGGAGAAGAGGCGACGACGCAAGCAGAGTGAGACCGCGAGGAAGACGAAATACAGGAAGACTAGGAGGAAGAATAATCCGAGGAAAAAGACGGAGAATAGAACAGATTTGTTTTTAATAACTGTGCCCCACAAAATTCGACAAACTGTCGCTTAACTACAGAGAAGAAGACCCATTAACGGCATTACTGAAAGCCCCTAAGAAAGCAGCCAGAGTGACCCAAAAGTAGGGTGAATAGTGTAATAAAAGACACATCAAAAAGGACACAGGGTGAATGACGTTCCATCTGGTAAAGAAGAATAAAGATGGCCTTAGGTGATTCACTGATGTCTGACGAATAAATGCAGCAGCTCTGCTGACGAACAGAATTTAACTGATCATTTTGGTAGGCGACGAGGCATTGTTGACTTTGTTTTTCTCGGTTGTCGCAATTTCGTTTGTCGACTTTCAAACGTTCATCCAAACAAAATCGAACCGATTCCTAGAAGAACGAACGCGGACACGTTCCTTCGAAATATTGAGAAAATTATTTCTTACGAACGTTTTAAATAGACAACGACAAGGTAAAAAATATATGAATAACAGTCAATGTCCAATGCTTTCGGACTACAATTGCAGACGATTCTCAATCATCCAAGAATAACTTGGTAAAACGAGTTTTCCGAAATTTATTTTAAAAAATATGAATTTGTCAGTAACCAAACTGTTAAAACTTAATGTTTCAAGGGCACAATAAATATGAACGTCATACATTATTCACAGTCGGTTGAGCATAACTTTGCGAGACATTTTTTCCAAAATTTGTTTAACAATATTTCGAATTTGTTAACAAAAACGGTATCGTTGAAAAAAAAAGGTTCCGTAGGACCACTAATTCTAGACGTCTCAGATGAATCCCAATCTTTTGAATATACATTCGCAAGATATTTTTTCCCCAATGTGTTGAACAATTTTTCGAATTTATGAAAGTGAACGCATTTTTCATTCCGCCCGTCTGTTGTTTCTCCATCATACCCCTACTCCGCTTTATATCGGATGTTTTCATTCCTCACGATTTCCTCGAATTGTCGACCTTCTCGGGTTCGTGCTCTGCTATGTTCCTAAGCACGGTCTTCCCGAATTATCGACACTCTCGGGCTCGCTTCCGTCATATGCCCAACTACCTGATTATTTTGTAAGGCCCGTGTGGACTATGTATCGAACGCGATTTTTAATTTGAATTTCATCTTGCTAGTCTAACATGGTATCAAAAGCTGGGATTCAATCGGTGTTACGGGAACCACTTCAATGGTTATAAAAAGAGTACAAGTATTTGACTGTGAACGCTGCATTGAAAGATAGTTCACTTTCTTTGATTGACATTTAGATGCCCATTTTCTGATGGTTTTTCTCCTCCAAATTGCATTCTATATTAAATTCCTCAAAATTCAACAACACATTTACTGAAATTCTCCGGTTTTCTACTGACTTTCCAGGAAAAGTAGTACGGATATAGTAGTACACTGTAAAAAATTTCCGATTAAGAATCACAACACATGTGATGGCAGCACTGTAGCAACACCATACTGCGCATTTTCAATACTGTGATGTGAACGGTCGCACTTTACAGTACTGTGGGATATCAAATCTGTTTCGTTATATTACAATGCAAACGTCAAGTAAAATCAGAAAACTAATATTATATTTTCTAAATAC